CTCTCACTGACCCTCTCATGCTCACGCTGTCTCTCTCTCTCTCTCTCTCTCTCTCACACACACACACACACAAATTTAAAATAAAGCATTAAAAGTCTAAAAAATTAAAAAAAAGAAAAATTCTTACTAAAATCATGATGGAATTTAAAAAGTCTATTTACATATTTAAAAATCCCTTCACATGCTGGGCTTTCCTCCCTCTCCCAAATCTTGAGCTCACAGGTATTGCTCACTAATGAAAATCTTGACAGGGCTCAGATTCTGCCAACTCCTTCCCAAAAGATGTATTTGCAAATGATTTCTCCACTCCTGGCAACAGAGTGGTGTCCCTGGAGCTTTAGCTTTGAAAACAATGCTGAGCTCTCCACTCCCCTGGTCGGACTCTAGCTTGGGGCCTCTGGCACCCCTGGACAAAGCTGCAGATGTTTGTGGGATGCTGGTCTGAGAGAGTGAGCCTGGAGGGCTGGGGACAGCTGGAAGAGATGAGGGAGAGACCACAGGCTCCCAGGAAAGCAGGGGAGGGAGGAGGAGGAAGGCCTTCCTGTGTTGAGGCCCCACTTGTATAAGAAATTGCCTTTGGTCTGCAGACTTTGGGAGATGGAGTATGATTTTGTGTGAATCTTCCAGGAAGTTCCGGAATTAGTGTTGTTTTGGTAGTAACAGCCACAGGGCAGAGGACACAGAAGGGTGCTCCGAACTTGATGTGGGAGCTCCAAACCAAGGGGTTCTTGGACAAGTCCTTTCGTCCTGCTCTTTCCATGCTCTATCTCTCTCCCAAATCTCCAAAGCTCTGTGGTGAGGTCTGGAGACCCCAATTCAGTTCCTAGAGCCTCTCAGAGGACATTGGGTATCTGGCTACCAGTCTGGGGTGGGCACAGGAGAGAAGAACCAGTGATAGAGACTCTCAGAATTCCTCAAATTCCCAACGCTGGAATATGGCAAGCCGGCTCTGGGTTAAATTCCAGGTCTGCTGGGAATGTGCTAGAAACGTGTTTCTAGCATGCTGGGCCTGTACTCTGAAACAAGATGAGGCTGAGAGCCAGACTTGTGAATTTACCAAATCAGTTTTTAGTCTTGCAATGCTCCAGGAGAACCAGAGCGGACCACTGCCCCCGACCCCCGATACCCCTCACTGAGCCTGGGGCTGCCTCCCCTAAGTGCAAGGACCTCATAGGGTCTGCAGGCTTCCTCATAGACCAGGGCTTTTTGAGGGGAGGATGTGAAAGCAGCCTGGAAATGGGCCAATCATCACGTCCCACAAAATTAAAACCCTTTGAGATGCTCCAGCACAGATGTCTTGCTTTACAGAGCTAGTGACTGAACCCATTGGTGGAGAGGTGATGGGCAGGTGTGACCCTCAGGCGGTAGTTCTCAACCAGGGCTGAATCTGACCCCAGGAGACATTCAGCAATGTCTGGAGGCATGGGAGTGGGGTGTGGGAGAAGTGTTATACTGGCATCTAGTGGACCAAGGCCAGGAATGCCACCAAACATTTCATAACTCACAGGACAGCCTTCCCCATCCCAAACCAAATGGTCAGGCCCCAAATATCAATGGTGCCAAGGCTGAGAAACCCAGGGCCAGCACTGGGTTGCCCAGGCACTTCACTAAGTGTTCTCATCTGAAAACAGCATAGAGATTTTGCTTTATTGTGGTCTTTGCTTTTCAAATTAGGATATAGATTTCCGTTATCTAGTCAACTTTTATTATTTTCAAGGATTCATCTTCTTTCTCTGAATTCTGGAAGAATTACCCAGTATGCTTGCCAGCAATCTGAATTTCCTCAGTCTGTTGTGCTACCAGTGATCCTTCTCTTGCATCTGTAGTGGGTTTATAGACTCAAAGATCCATTTACTCTCATTTTGGAGGGGTCTCTGGAATGAGAGGGGGTAAATCTCCATCTTCAATCTGCCATCTTTTAATCATGAGGCCAATTTAACATCTTTCTAAGGACTGAGAATGAATTTCTTCTAAAAATTTTAACACAATTTTATGGAGAAGAGAAGAATTTTCAGTAGCCCAACAGACTTTGGAGTCTTCACAGTCTTTGAAGGAGGTAGAAAGATAGGGATGGACAGGCAAGTAGAGGTTCACATTCTGATTGCTAGTGGCTCAAAACATGGTCTCTCAGTTGGTGGATGGTGACATGGTTCTCTGGCCAATTAAGTCCTTTATAACAGTCCCTTGGAAGCATCTCAATCCATCCGTTCTGACTGCACGGAAGTGACCATTCTGCCTCAGCTTTGGCACCAAGGCATGTTCTTATCTATATAGGTGACCCTTGAACAACATAGATTTGAACCCTGCTGGTCCACTCATATGTGAATTTTTATTTATTTTGTCATTATTTTTTAATGTTTATTTATTTTTGAGAGAATCATAATCTTTCAGAGACTCAGAATCAGAAGCAGGCTCCAGGCTCTGAGCTGTCAGCACAGAGCCCAATGTGGGGCTTGATCTCATGAACTGTGAGATCATGACCTGAGCCAAAGTTGGATGCTTAGCCGACTTAGACACCCAGATGCCCCTCATATGTGGATTTTTTAAAAAAGCAATCTCTACAGCCAATGTGGGGTTCGAACTCATGACCCTGATCAAGAGTGGCACACTCCATGGACCTAGCCAGCCAAGTGCCCTAGTGGATTTTTTAAAAAATGTTTATTTACTTTTGAGAGAGACAGACAGAGGGAGAGCATGAGCAGAGGAGAGGCAGAGAGAGAGGGGGGCAGGATCTGAAGCAGGCTCTGTGATGATAGCAGAGAGCCCAACACAGGGCTAGAACCCATGAGTCATGAGATCATGACCTGAGCAGAAGTCAGATGCTTAACTGACTGAGCCACCCAGGCTCAGTGAGGTGTTTTTTTTTTTAAGGGAGTTGATGGCAAAGGCCACAAGGCATTTTACAGCTGCGCACCCCATCTCCATGGGACTGAATGGAAGGCTACCCAGGCAGTTGAGCCTGCTGACCTGAGCACCTAGGGAGGCCTGCCAAGCACGTCTGCAGTCCCCAAGGGGCCCTGGTACTGGCTGGGCTGCAGATCATCCTGTGTGCTGTTGGGGTGATCAAGTGGAACACCCGGGTCTTGGGGCTTTGCTAGGGCAGCTGTGGGCCTTGGGCTCCTTCCTGCCAGGTACCAACCCCTCCTCAAGGCAGCTTCCTGGAGGCCAGCACATTCGTGAGCAGCTGCAGCTGACCCTGTCCCTGCCATCTGGCCTAAATATGGGTTTCTTTTTCAATATACATGCAGTACTGTGAATGTATTTCTCTCTCTTATGAATTTCTAGTAACATTTTCTTTTCTGTAGCTTACCTGTACTGTTAGAATACAGCATATAATACACATAACCTACAAAGCATGTGTTAACTGACTATGTTATTGGTCAGGCTTCTGCTCAACAGCAGGCTTAGTTAAGTGTGGGGGGGGGAGGAGCCAAAAGTTATAGGGGGTGGTTTTGACTGTGTAAGGGTAAGTGCCCCAACCCCCACATTGTTCAAGGGTGAAACAACTGTAGTTTATAGTACGAGTTCTCACTTAAATTGCTTTGTGCATCTTTCTGGGTATTATATATAGCTTTTCTTTTTTTTAAAGCTTATTTATTTATTTTTAGAGAGAGAGAAAAAGCATGAGTGAGGGAGGGGCAGAGAGAGAGGGAGAGAGAATCCTAAGCAGACGGCACGCTGTCAATGCAGAGCCTGATGCAGGGCCCAAACTCATGAACCGTAAGATCATGACCTGAGTAGAAACCAAGAGTCAGATGCTTTACAGACTGAGGCACCCAGGTGTCCCTCTGGGTATTATAATTGGGAAGCTGATAGAAGGCAAATTGGGCAGGTCTTATTTGTTGCCATGTCAAAGAGTTAAAAATTCAGGTTATTATTACTGGAATTGAAAGGGAGAGACCTAAACAGGTTCAGGGAGGAAACGAGGGCCAAGTCCTTGAAGCAGCTGGAGAGACCCAATGACACGGGTCTGGGAGGGAGGGTGGCCTTGGACAAGTGCAAGGCCACTTCTCTCTCTAAGATGCTACAGAAAGGAGGAGCATGAAGATAAGAGGGGCTGCATGGCTTCCCAGCCAAGAGTCTTTATTTTCCCTGTGGAGTAAAACATTTGCAATGTCAGAGTTTACGCTGAACAGGGGTGGTGAGAGACAGCCACTGGGCATTGAGGAGCCTGCCGGTTGTGACAAAGATAAAGATGCCACATGTGCTTATAGCAGGATGCTACTCTGTCCAGAGAAGTCAGGGGTTTTCTGAAGCCTGTCCCTGACCACAGTCACCTCTCACTGCATGGGAGAGATGAGCCAAGGGCAACAATTACAGAGTGGAATTTTGAATTTTTATCCAGTCATCTCTGGCTTTCTCCCCACTCCTCGTTACATTCAGTCAATAGATTCTGTTGGGTTTTCTTTAAAATAGTCTCCTTTCTCCAAGCTGGTTAGGTCTAAGGAACACCAGACTGAAGCGAGCCTTGACACTCACTGTTCACTTGACCCACATCAGGGCCCCTAGCCTAACTGCATCTCAATCTTACCACTGCAGTGGAAGCAGAGGCCAGACCCGCACACCTGTGATCAGCCAAGGCCTGGCGCCAGAGAAAAGCAGAAAGCAAGAGAATGTGCGTTCCCCTCTGGGGTCAGCACTGATTCTGTTCAGGTGCCAGTGACACTAGGGCCAGACCTGGCAGCCATCAACCAGGAAGCATTAGTTTTCAGAGGGCTCTGGACTCTCTGGCTGTTTAGCCTTTGGGAAAGGGACAGAGAGAGGGAGGGAAGGAAAGAGGCAAACACAGATCCTGGCTTTCCACCACCAGTTACAGAAGGGGGCAGAAAAGACAGCCATACCCACATCCACTCTCTATTTTCCACAAATGACTCCATTACCTATAAACAGGCACCACCAGAGTTTTGGTAACAACCAACCAGAACCTTGGAGAGGAGTGAAAAAGTTTGCCTTATCTATCCTTGGGTTAGCAGTGAAGAGGTGGCCCAGAGAACCTCCTCAGGATCAGGGAGTAACACACCCATGCTCATTACTGCCCTCTGCTCCCTAACAGGATGTGTGGCCAGTTCCTGAGGCAGCTGGTGGCTGAGGAGAGCAGGCACTCCACCTCCGTGGGGCGCCTTCTGCTCCCCGTGCTCCTGGGGTTCCGCCTCATGCTGCTGGCCACCAGCGGGGCCGGGGTCTACGGCGATGAGCAGAGTGAATTCGTGTGTCACACCCAGGAGCCAGGCTGCAAGGCCGCCTGCTACGACACCTTCCGCCCTTTCTCCCCACTGCGCTTCTGGGCCTTCCAGGTCATCTTGGTGGCCGTGCCCAGCGCCCTCTACGTGGGTCTCACTCTGTATCATGTTATCTGGCTTTGGGAAGAGTCAGGAAAGGGGAAGAAGGAGGAGACTCTGATCCCCCACGGGGAGGAGAGCAGAGATGCCTCAGGCCCTGGAAGCCCCAGGCTGCTCTGGGCCTATGTGGCACAGCTGGGGGTGCGACTGGTCCTTGAGGGGGCGGCCTTGGGGGTGCAGTACTATGTGTATGGGTTCAAGGTGCCCAGCTCTGTTGCATGTCGCCGAGAGCCTTGCCTTGGTAGTATAACCTGTTACCTGTCCCGCCCTTTTGAGAAGACTGTCTTCCTAAGGACCATGTTTGGGGTCAGTGGGCTCTGTCTCTTGTTCACGCTTTTGGAACTTGTTCTCCTGGTCCTGGGGCGATGGTGGAGGGCCCGGAAGCACAAATCTCCCCCTTCTAACTACTTCCCAACTTCAGAGAGCACCAAAAGACACAATGAACCGACTGAGAACTTCCCAGAGGTGGAGACCAAAGAGCCGTTCCGAGAAGCAGGTGAGAAGAGCACTGATGTCCCTCTTTCTTCCTGCTTCTGAGGTCTCTGTCCTGATGACCTCCCACAGCAGGTCCCTCGAACTCTGGTAGGCACACTTCCTAAGTGTTACAAAATAGAAAACCAGGTTTGAGGCAGATGTCTTCTGACCGCTGCTCCTGACCTGTCTCCCAACCCTTGTTCCCGTCTGTTTGCCGATTCCTTCCAATGAACCAGGACCGGGGCTCTCAGCCAGCTGTACTTCCTGCCCTTCCTTTTAGGTTTCTTCCCACTCAGAAAAAGCCTCAGCTCCTGCTTGATTCTCTACTTTGCAGAGTTATGACGGCACCTGGTTCGCCTCTGAAGGGAACCCTGTGATTGGATCTTCTTCCGAACATCCAGTGAGTGGGGATTTACTTCCGACAAATGAGAGGCTGTTGAAGCGTCTCTAAGGGCCATGGTGGGCCTTGCTGCCTGACGCATTTCCTGGGAGATCTTCCACTTGTGCCCTCCCACCAGAATCTTCTGCTGTCAGCTTTACAGTGATCATGGGCTTGGTTCCAGAGTCAGCCAGCAGAAGCCTCTGTAAAGCTGTGCTTCTCCCCTGTCCTGCACAATAAATACTGACTGCTGCTGTTGGCATTCTTGTGGCTGAATGCGACCTTCCTGTCACGGTGACTCTACTTCCCTGTCCTCTGTTGATCCACTTTCTCTGTGCTCCCCTCAACTTCAAAGTCCTGTAACCTATGGATACCCCCAGCCCTGCGGCATAGGTCATATTCAGATTGGCTTTCCACGCATATCTAACCCAATGTCCTTTTTTATTTTTTTAATGTTTATTTGTGTATTTTGAGAGGAGGAGAGGGGCAGAAAGAGAGGGGGGCAGAGAATCTGAAGTGGGCTCTGCTGACAGCAGACAGCCTGATGCGGGCTAGAACTCATGAACCCATGAGATCATGACCTGAGTTGAAGTCAGATGCTTAGCAGACTGAGCTCCCCGGGTGCCCCAACAAATTGCTACTTTTTAAACTCATACCCCTCATTTCCACAAAGAAAAGACAGGAGAGTTTTGCTGCTGACAGAGTTAGCAGGAAGGGAGGTTTACATCACAGTAGCAGATAACATAAAGCTAAGTATGAAACTACTCTTTTCTGGAGTCTCTCCATCAAATCTGCCCAAGGGTTCCAGCCTCTCACCTTCCTGCAGAAACATCTTCCCCTCCCTTCTTCCTTGCCTTCAAATTCTCAACAAGAGAAGCTACCTAGTTTTGTTTTCTTCTTCTGAATCCCAAATTATCCCTGGGTAAAGTAGGAAGGCTCATTCCTAAGGAAAGCTATTTGGTCCCTCAGGGGACCTTTTGACAGCAACTAGAAAACTAATAATTTTTCTTTATGCCATACAAGTGTTTTATATAGAATCCTTCATCTACTGTAACCAGAGTACAGCCAAATGACCAAGGATGGAAAAAAGCAAATGTCCTTATTCATAATTCCTCTTTGACAACCCTTTTAAAACAGCTTTATTGAGAAATAGTTCACATGCCATATAATTCACCCATTTAAAACGTAAAGCATACAATTTAATGCCTTTTAGTATAGTCACAGAATTGTGCATCTGTTAATACAATTTTAGGACATTTTCCAACTCAAAAAGAAGCCCTGTAACCCTTAGCTTTTACTCCCAAATGTCCACGGCCCCCAGCAGACATAAACAACCACTAATATAATTTCTCTATATATAGATTTTCCTATTCTGGACTGTTCATATAAATAGAATCCATCATACAATATGTGGTCTTTGGGACTGGCTTCTTTCATTTAGCACCATGTTGTTTTTTTTTTAAATAAATGTATGCAAATTTATTTAAAGTTTTAACTAATTAATTAATTTTTGAGAGAGAGAGAGAGAGCACGGGAAGGACAGAGAGGGAGACAGAGCGTCCAAAGCAGGCTCAATGCTGTCAGCGCAGAACCTAACTCACAGACCATGAGATCATGACCTGAGCTGAAGTCAACACTTAACTGACTGAGCCACAAGTGCCCCAGCACCATGTTTTTGAAGTTTATCCATGTTGTTGGATGAATCAGTACTTCATTGCTGTTTATCGTTTAGTATTATTTCATTGTATGGCTCCACACTTTTTTTGTTCATTTTTTAGTTGATGGACTTTTGAATTGTTTCCACTCGTTGGCTATTGTGAATAATGGTGCTACAAATATTCGTATATCAGTTTTTGTACAAATACATGTCTTCAACTCTCTTGGGTAAATACCTAGGAGTGGAATTGCTGGGGCATATGGTAACTCTTTTTAAGGAACTACCACACTGTTTTTACAGCAAGCTGTACTGTTTACATTCTCAGCAGCAATGTATTAATGGGTTCCAATTTACCCACATCTTCACCAACACTTGGTATTTTCTTTCTTTTTGTTTTCTTCTTTCCTGTCTTTCTTATTTGACATTTAAAGTTGTAGCCATCCTAATGGCGTGAAGTGGTATACCATTGTGGTTTGATTTGCGTTTTCCTAACGATGTTGAGCATCTTTCATGCGCTTATGGACTATTTGTATATTTTCTTTGGAGAAATGTCTACACACATCCTTGGCCCACTTTTTAATTAGGTTGTTTGTATTTTTGTTGTTATTTATATATTCTGGCTCCTAGGTCTTTATCCGATATATGATTTCCAAATATTTTCACCCATTCAGTGGATTGTTTTCCACTTCACTATTAGTGTCCTTTGATGAGTAAGTTTTTAATTTGGAATGAAATTCAATTTATCAATTTTTCCTTTGTTGCTTGTGATTTTGGTGTCATAGTTAAGAAACCATTGCTTAATCCATGATTGTGAGGGTTTACACATGCATTCCCTTCTAAGAGTTTTATAGTTTTAGCTTTACATTTAGGTCTGATTGATTCTGAATTAATTTTTATATATGGTATAAGGGTTAAACTTCATTCTTTTGCATATGGATATCTAGTTGTCCCAGCACCATATATGGAAAAGTCCATTTTTCTTCCATATAATGGTTTTTGGCATCCTTTTGAAAATCCATTGCTTGTCAATGTACGCATTATTTCTAGACTTTCAGTTCTATTTCATTGATCTACATGTTTATCTCTATCCTGGTATCACATGTTTTGATTACTGTAGCTCTGTTATAAGGTTTGAAATTGGGAAGTGTGAATCCTCTAATTTTGTTCTTCTTTTCAAGGTTGTTTGGCTCCTTGGGGTCCCTTGAAATTCTGTATGAGTAAAACTGCGACTTAGTGGGGCTCAATATTTTCAGTAAGGAAGGAAGTTTATCTCAGGTGTATGGTAAGATAGAAGCCATAAGGACCTTAAGGTGTCATGGGATCTTATGTTTGTCATTCAATACACAGGCAGACATATAGACACATACACACTTATATCACACTCATGGCAAACATTAATAACAGATGAGAGCATTTCTTCCTGCTTGGTCCATTTTAAGACTCAGACTCCTTCTCAATACAGTATTCTAATTTTCATAGAAAATGCATTTATTAATTGTGTAATTTAAGCATCTAAAAAAGTAGATTTTTCTGTCTGGTTTTTGTCAAAAATCCCAAAACAGAGATCACAGAAATCCCCTTTCCAAGTATTTAGTTGGACATTCAGTAACTACTGACTAAGCATATTATGGGAAAGGCAGTATCTGATATTGGGACGCAAGAAGAATTTAAAATTTTCATTCATAAGAAAAGGAATAGAGACCAATAAATAAAAAATCCAATGAAGGGAAATAGACAATTCTCTGAAATAGGCAAGCATTCTGTTTGTTGAAAGCCTCAATGGATGTTTCTTGAGATAGAAAAATGATTGCTGTATTTCAAGTTGGGTACCAAAAACGATGTGTCCATACTTCTGAATCTTAACCACTCCTACTTAAAAATTTTGATCTTTCCACCTACTCTCTGGTCCCAGCAGATACTTCATAATATCCTCCTTATGACAGCTCCAACTCCACTCTCCAGGCATTGTTCTGGCACCCTGGTCTTGACATTCTAGGCAGGAGGGTCAGGAACTGCTCCTGAAGCTGGGGATGAAGCTACAGGATCTGCTCCTTTCCAGCATCTTAGACAACAGCCACTCAGCAGATCACCCCGAGCTGGCTTGGAGCATCCCATACCCACAGACCTCCTAGGAGTTGAACCACCGTACACTGGTGGGGAGTCTCAAATGTGAGTAAGATCATCTAACCCGATTCTTTACCCTGACTTAACTGTTAGAACCCCCATCTGCGCTGGGTGAGTGTGTCTCATGCTCTAAGAATGGGCTTCCTTTATCTGGTGTTTGTCTCGGGAGCTTGGGAAGAGAGGGAAATCGGGGTGGCAGGGTGACCAGCCATCATCCCACTAGTTCATGGGCGGCTAAACACTCCCTTTCCTGCCTCCCCCCTTGGAATACTGGCCCTCCAATTCACCCAACACCAGGACAGTAGGTGGCCTTCGCGGGGCAGTAGGAAATCCTGCCTTTCCAAGAACTCGACTAGCCCCTGAAGGTGGAGGCCGAGAACGAAGGCTGAAAGGAAAGAGCGGACTTCAGTGAGAGCAAGGTTAACGGGCCGGTGCCTCCTTTGCCCCCACTTCAGGCCCAGCTGCACAGACCGCTCCAGGCCCTGGGACTGCAGCACCCGCAGAACACCCGCCCCAGGGGCAGCTCGCCAAAGACGCCAGAACTTAAGCACCTCACCTTTGCAACGTGAAAGACAGGCTGAACTCCTTAGCGCCGCCCCGCTTTGCTCCTCCAGCCGCTGCTCGCAAGGGCTCCTCCGGTCCTCTCTAGGCGTCCCGGAGCAAGTTCCGCGTCTCTATTGCTGGCCCGAGGCTCAGCCCACGTCCCGTCGTGCCTCGCGGCGCCCTCGAGTCGCGGAAACACAGCGGCTGCCTGGCTCCGGCTGGGGTCCTGCAGCGCGCGCGGGGAAGGGTCGCCGCTCGGTCAGCGCCGCCCGGGGCCCGAGGCCCCGGAGGACTTTCCCGTCCCGCCCGCAGTCCCGCGCCTTGCGTCCGGTCCCGCGGCGGAGAAGCGGCATGGAAGCCGAGGACCTCCAGGAGGACTTGACCTGCTCCATCTGCCTGGACTATTTCGAGGACCCAGTGTCCATCGAATGCGGCCATAACTTCTGCCGCGGCTGCCTGCACCGCAGCTGGGCGCCGAGCGGCGGCGCGTTCCCCTGCCCCGAGTGCCGGCAGCCGTCGGCGCCCGCCGCTCTGCGGCCCAACTGGGCCCTGGCCCGGCTGACGGAGAAGACGCGGCGCCGGCGACAGGGCCCGGTGCCCCCTGGCCTGTGTGGCCGCCACTGGGAAGCGCTGCGGCTCTTCTGCGAGAACGACCAGCGGCCCGTGTGCTTGGTGTGCAAGGAGTCGCAGGAGCACCAGGCGCACACCATGGCGCCCATCGACGAGGCCTTCGCCAGCTACCGGGTGAGCCGGCTGTAGCGGGGTTGCCGGTATTCCCGGAATACCGTCGTCATGTCATGTCATAGGTCATTGTCATGAGAGACCTACGAGGTGGCCGCAATGCCCATTGGAAGTATGACCTCCTCCGCCCCCCACCTCCCGTGGGAAGAAATTAAGCGACACACAGATCTCAGAGTTGGGGTTAAAACTGAGGTAGGGAGGATCTGTATAGATTTTCCAAGGCACTGGCTCTTGGGAGCTCCCGGCTTAAGACAGTCATACCGAGGGGGTGTATACCAGTGCCGCCCAATAGAAACACGAGGCGAACCACATATGTAATGAAACTTTCCTAATGGTTAAAATAAATGAGTGATGCTAATTTTAGTAATATATTGTATTTAACCCAATTTTCCAGACTATTATCATTCGACATCGATCGCTATGAAAAGTTATCCGTGAGACATTTTACTTTTGTTTTTCATAATACAAAAGATTTTTGAAATCTGTGTTTATGTTTACAGCACATATCAACTCGAACTGTCCACAGTTTGGGTGCTCACCTGGCTAATGGATGCTGTATTGGACAGTGCAGGTGTATATCCACAGGGTTTATAGACAACTGGTGATATGGGAAAATCCTGCCTTGGAGTGGTGAGGCTGGGGTTTGATACTAGCTTCCTTCATCAGTTGGGAAAAATCACTTAATGTTTGAATTTGGAGATTAATCTGTCATGCCTATTTTATGGATTAAGGAGCTTCAGTTGAATAAAGCAGTTTATCTTACTCTACTCCAGCCACACTGCCTTCTTTTGTTTCAAGTCTGTTCTCTTTCTCTACCCACACCTTCCATCCTTTACATCTTTTTAGCTTTTAGCTTGAAGACCTTCCTTGATCATCCTTTCCAGAGTAGCCCTACCCCCCTTCTATTACTGATGGTGTAACTCCAGTGGTCTCCAGCAGAATTGGTATCTAGTAAGTACTGGTTGAATACACAAGTTTAATGATACAAGTTAACGTATTTTGTAAACTATAAAATGACATACAGTTTTATTAACTGATGACAAACAGGAAATATGCAAAGTTCCACCCTTCACTCAGTAACCTTTATTTATGCTTACTGTAAGCCAGGCATTGTTCTAGAATCTGGACATAAACAGATAAGAAGTACATGAGCCTTGTCTTGTAGGGTACATAAGCATGTAGACCAATAATTTCAAGTTTGTATCAAGTTTGTATCAAGTTATCCAAGTTTGTATCCAGTACATGGAAGGTCTGAGGAGAAATGGCTTCACGGAGTTGAACATGAACTCACTCTTGAAGGGTAAGTTGGTAGATAGGGGAGAGGATATTCAGGCCAAAGGAACAGCATATACAACAGTGTTGCTGCTTGGAATGGCATGTGATCAATGTAAGAGTACTGGAAGTTGCTCAATATTTCTGGAGGGTAGAGGGAGGTAGGATGGTGGCAATTAAGGCTGGGGAACTGCTTGGTCTTGCCCTCCTGCCATCTGGCAGTTTCTGTTATTGTAGGGAAGGAATTTTCTAATCTTCCTGGAATTAACCATTTTCATTCAGGGGCCCCTTTTCAGATCTCAACTGTGGTAGGATTCGAAAAGACTTAGGTAGTGTCTTGGAATAGAACCAGCGATACAGGATAATTCATAAATACTGGAACTGTTAAGGACTTTTAAACAATTAAAAAATTCTAGTTAAAATTTATATTTTTCATTATTAAACAAAAGTGAAAACTTAAAAAAATCTTGATAACATTCAAAAGAGCTACTTATCTGATTACAGGCTTCCCATATACATCAAATTTGACAGTGATTACAAAGTGGCAGTTACATAATTGATAAAGGAAAAAGTTACTTGAAATAGCTTTCCAAGTAGCAGGATTATATACCTATTTAACAACTAGAGGTAATAAGTAGATTATATAATGTTAGAAAATATAGTGTTAGAAAATAGCACAGGTGATTTTATGATGTATAACAACTACATAAAGCACTTGGCAACCTAATTTCATCCTCCGCCCCAACATTTCACTATGCAATTTCCAAGCAGATGTGAAAGCTGGAAGAATTTTATAATACCAATACACCCACATCTAGGTTCTGCCATTAGCATTTTCTGTTTATCACCTATCTATTCTCTGCATCCATCAATTCTTGTTTCCTTTTGAGACATTTAAACTTAATTGAAGATAGTCCCCTTCCTCCTGTACTTTAGCATGCTTACCGTCAACCATATTTAACATTCATTTATGGTGGTTTTTGAAGTCACATTTAATACTAAATATGCACATCTTTAGTGTACATTTGCTGAGCTTTGACAAATGCATACATCTGGGCACCCTAAGCCCTTCTCAAGATAAAGAACATTACTGGGGCACCTGGCTGGCTCAGTCAGCGGAGCATGTGCCTCTTGATCGCGGGGTTGTAAATTCGAACTACACATTGAGTGTGGTGCTTACTTAAAAATAAATCTTAAGACAAAAAGAGAGAATATTAACATCAATCCAGGAAGCTCCTCCCTCCTCTCCTAGTTAATCTCTGCTCCCTCTTCCCCACCCAGCTACTGTTCTAATCTTTTTGCAATGAAGATTAGTTTTGCCTGAAGATTAGTTTTGCCTGTTGTGGAACTTCATATGAATAGAATCCTTTTGCAACCTAATTTCATCTGCCCCCTCCAACATTTCACTGTGCAATTTCCATCCACACATGAAAGTTGGAAGAATACTCTGTACTCCTCTATATAGACTCCTTTTGCTCAGCATATTGATTTTGAGATTCACCCATTTTGTGCATGTCAGTAGCCTGTTAATTTTTCTTGCTGAGACATATTCCATTTTATGAACATACTGCAGTTTGCTTATCCATCTCTCTATCATTGCATACCTGGGCTGTTTCCAGTTTTTGAATGAAGCTGGTATGAGTATTCTCATAGAGGTCTTTTTGTGGACGCATGTTTTCATGTTTCCTGGGTCTAGGAGTTGTACTGCTGGGTCTGGGATTGATGTATGCTTCGTTTGACGCCGGCCCTTTTTCCAGAATGGTTGTTCCATTTCTCATAACCACCAGCACCATGTGGAAGCTCTGGAAGCTCCACACCTTTGCCAGTTTTGGTGGTGTCACTCTTCAATGACCTCACTTTGCTGTAGCCATTGTCATTTGTAAGTGATACGAAGAAAAGTGATACTGACTATTTTTCATTATTCTCTTAGGGAAAAAAAAAAATGCCCTGCTTATTTCTAGTTCTGTTCATTTCCTTTTTTTCTTTCTTTTAGCTTTTTATTTTGACAGGTGTTCACATGTTCAGAAAGCCGTTCTAGGCCACTCTTCGGCATTTGACAGCATTCACCGGTTTTTATTTAAATTTTCTCTTCCTTTGGTGTATGAGAAACCATTCTCTCTTGGTTTTTCACCAGCCACCACTCAGCTTAGCTTCTTGTAGGGTTTTGGTCCTCTGCACACCCCTTATATGCGGTTGTTCCTCATTCCAGCCTGGATCACCTTCTTGATAGACTCTTACTGGGGGATTTTACTCATATCTGGCTGCACCTGCTGCCTGTGCTCTAACCACGCCCCCCCCCCATCTGCTTCTGCAGCTCAGATCTCTTACTTGACCCTTAACTGCTAAGTATACTCATCAGAGACCCCTACCCCCAAACTCAATTTAGTCAAGTCTAATTTAATCCCCCCCCTTCTATTTACATACCACTCACTTCCCTATTTGGTAAATAGCCCACAGTCCTTCTAGCTGTCAAGCCAGAACCCAGGAGTGAAATCTGGACTCCTTCCTCTCACAGCCATTTGGTCATTGGTTCTTGCTGGTTTTCCTCTTATGTGTGTATGTGTCTCTCACCTGCGTGCTTCTGTCTACGATCAAGTCCCACCTTCAGCTATCAGGTGCTGCCCCTTCACAGCCCTCTTTGTTAATGCTAATCGACTCCTTTTATTTTGTAATAGCTCATTCAGGTTTTTAAATTCTAAAATGGTATATACTTCTTGTAGAAAATCAAAGCAGAAATTCGTAAAAGTTTTAGTCCCTCACCAAACTTCCAAGCCATTTCTATTCCCCAGAAATAACCAGTGTTAATCTGTAGGTGTATGTTCTTCCAGATTTTTCTTCTATTTAAATATGCACACCCATGCACAGATACATGTATATTTATTCTTTTCAAAACAGAATTATACAATACTATTGTTCTACAGCACAGGGGTTTTTTTGTTTGTTTACTTAGAACACATCAATAGAGAGAGCTACCTGAGATTGGTACAGAGTATCAATATACCATTATTTATTTAATAATTCCCCACGAATGGATAATAAATACTGCTGCAGTGAACATTCCTATACATATTGATTATTTTTGCTAGTGTCTTGTTGCACAGATTATTGGAAGTAGAATTATGCACATTTCAGATGGTTTTAAATCCTGCCAGTTGCCCTTCAAAAGGATGGCACCTTTTTATAAGTCTCCTACTATTGTAGTGTCAGAGGCCTCCCTCGCCAGTATGAGGTATTTACTAAACCTCTAGCAGTTTTCATTTTTTTGCCAACTTAATAGGCAGACTCTATAGAGTGTTATAAAGATGTCAGATCAGAATACTTCCTATGCCAAATTCTGTAAGTATCTTCAACGTTTTCTCAATCGCCTTGCCTGTTTAGCTCTTAAATAAGCAAGTTGCTTGGGGAGACGCTTTCTCTCTGATATGTGTTTCTGCTGGCAGGAAAAACTTCTTGAGACTCAGTGTAGTCTGACGGCCAAGATGAAGAAAGCCATGCATTTGCAGGACATGGAAGTGAAAAATGCTACTGAGTGGAAGGTAATAGCAGAATCTGTTGGGCCTTTCTTGTCTCTCAGACCCTTTGGTGTCATTGGGAGGAGCTTGCATGATGTTGTGAGTGGTCAGGCCCCTTGCAGAGAAGGTGACAGAACAGGAAGTGTGTTTCTCTACTGACCTGTGGCTTTGGGCAGTGGGAGTTCCACATACTTCATCCCCATCTCTCTAAGGTGGTACCCCTCTCCTTCCCACTTTTTCCTAAATATACTCCCTAGGTTGTAGTTGGTCTGGGTCCATAGCATTGTGGAAAGTAAATGGACTTTGCTTTCAGAGATACTGGTCTAGTTGGGAGGCATGATGTGCACGCACAGAAGCACATCTAAAGGCTTAATGAGACCAAACAGTAGGTGTTCTGGAGGCTAAACTAAGTAATAGATGTGAAAGTGTATTTTAGTTTAAAAAGTTCACAAACAAGGCATTGCCATCAGTAGTAGAGACTCAAATGTCACAAAGAATGAACTAACACTATAAAGGCCAGTACGAAGATACCAAATGAGTATAAATAAATTAGCAGGAATTTGTGGAGGGTGGGTAGGAGTTTTCTATAGGTGATTGGGATGGAGAAACCATGGACTGTTGGGGAGTCATGTGCATGGAATTTAGGAGCAAGAGCAGGACAAGGACTGAGCAAGTGTCATGTGGCTGTAGGAGAAGATGAAAAACCAGCGAATGAGATTCGGTGCAGAGTTTGCAAAGCTGCACCACTTCCTGGCCGAAGAAGAGCAGCAGTTTCTTCAGAGACTAAGCAAGGAAGAGGAAGAGACAAAGAAGAAACAGAATGAGAACACGTTAAAGCTCCATCAGATGATCACTTCCTTGAAGGAGCTCATCCTAGAGGTCGGGAGGAAGAGCCAGAGCCCCGCCCTGGAGTTGCTGCAGGTGAGACGGTCACTCACTGAATTTCCTCTTGTCTTTCCTGGTGAGTTGCTTTAATAGAAGAAATGTGTTCTCTCTATTGATAATTGTGTTGCTACTGTCGTTATACAATTAAAGAGTCAAAGATTCCCCATTAAGAGGAACTTAACATGACATTTAGGTATGCTGAGCTCAGGTGCTATGGAGATACCTAGGTTCGCTTGGTTTGCCGAGGATCTGAAGCACATGTAAAACTTTTCCATTCATCTTATACATTTATGATTCTTTGTTAAAATAGTAGAATAAAGCAAACCTAAAATCACTACGGAGATAACTATATCAGTTTTTAAAATAAATTTGTCTTACTAATTTTTAGTCATTATAATCATAGCTTGATAATAACTTTGCTCTTAGCCTCAGATTTTGATTGGTACATTTATTTAAATAATTTCTAATATCCAGTAGCTGTTAAAAGGTTATAATTCTAATTCATTAGCACTTATGGGCACCAGGCTGGCTCAGTCAGTAAAGCATGTGACTCTTGATCTCAGGGTTGTGAGTTCAAGCCCCATTTGGGTATGGAACCTCCTTTAAAAAAAAAAAAAAAGTAATTTTTCAGTACTTAGATTAGGGACTTTTAAGCCAGTTTATTATAATCTTTACCTTTATATCTTCAGCAAGTAAAGTGTCTTTATAGCTTCTTTCAGTTTTAGGATAGGACACAACATTTGTAACTGTCTTCTTTTTTTCCTGCTAATTCATCTTTGGTCTTAGATCCCTCAGAACCTCTCTTTCCTCCACATCATGTGACTAAGGAGGAAAGAACTGTTGAAGAGCCCTTCAATCTGATTACTTTTTTTTCCGCATCAGGAGACAACATTCTGCTCTAAGGAGAGGAGAGAGACACAGACCCACTTACCAGTTATTTTCAGCAAGAAATTGCTAGGGGAGGGGTATTACAGGCTATATTAATGTAATGATTTCCCAGAATTGTCTACAACTTTTACAACTTGCTTGAGCCACGAAGTTTTCTACTCTAGTGTATACTCTAGCAGAATCTTTGAAATAACACATCCAAACAATTTTTTAAATAGAGGTTTAATATCTACTCAGAATGAAACCTCAAAGATACGCATGAACCAGCAGTATACTTACAAAAAATATATCAGCCAATAGAAGTGCAAGGGTAGGGAAATGATTAAAGAAGACAATTGGATTATAGAATCTCAGAGCCTAAGGGAACTTATTTTACTGATCTATTCATTTACCATCTTTTTTCCTGTTATTTCTTCATTTTTAGCCCATAATTCAGTTCCATTCTTATTAGAACTGTATAGACACCTCAAAAAAACCCTATAGAAACATTAAAGAACAATTCTGGGGCGCCTGGGTGGCTCAGTCGGTTAAGCATCCAACTACGGCTCAGGTCATGATCTCGCGGTCCATGGGTTCGAGCCTCGCTTCGGGCTCTGTGCTGACAGCTCAGAGCCTGGAGCCTGTTCCAGATTCTGTGTCTCCTCCCTCCGCCCCTTCCCAGCTCATGCTCTGTCTCTTTCTCTATCAAAAGCAAATAAACATTAAAAATTTTTTTTAAAAAGAAAAAATATTATGTTGTGCCAAACTTTTTATTTTTATGTTTTATTTATTTCTGAGAGAGAGAGAGAGAGACAGCATGAGCAGGGGACGGTCAGAGAGAGAGGGAGATACAGAGTCTGAAACAGGATCCAGGCTCTGAGCTGGCAGTCAGCACAGAGCCAGATGCGGGGCTCGAACCCATGAGGTGAGGTCATGATCTGAGCTGAAGTCGGACGCTTAACTGACTGAGCCACCCGGGCGCCCCTGTTGTGCCTAACTTTTATCTTTTTATTTGAATGTGTTCTTACACAATATACAGTATTCCTCTGGTGTTTGTATTTTTAATTTATGCAAATATTTAATCTTTCTGCATTCCATCTCTTGATTTTTTCAATAGGCACTATGTTTTGTTTTTTTTCCTTTTATAGTTTATTGCCAAGTTGGTTTCCATATAACACCCAGTGCTCATCCCAACAAGTGCCCTGTTTCATGTCCATCACCCCCCTTCCCCTCTTCCCTACCACCCCCTCACCCCCCCACAGCCCTCAGTTTGTTCTCAGTATTCAAGAGTCTTTCATGGTTTGCCTCCCTCCATCTCCCCAATGATTCTTTTCCCCTTCTCCTCCCTGGTGGCCTCTTAAGTTTCTCCTGGTCCACTTATAAGTGAAGACATATGGTATCTGTCCTTCTCTGCCTGACTTATTTCGTTCAGCATAACACCCTCGAGTTCCATACACGTTGCTACACATGGCCAAATTTCATTCTTTCTCATTGCCATGTGGTATTCCATTATATAGATAAACCAAATCTTCTTGATCCATTTGTCAGTTGATGTATATTTAGGCTCTTTCCATGATCTGGTTATTGTTGAAAGTGCTGCTATGAATATTGGGATACATGTGCCCCTATGCATCAGCACTCCTGTATCCCTTGGGTAAATTCCTAGCAGTGCTGTTGCTGGGTCCTAGGGGAGTTCTATTGTTAATTTTCTGAGGAACCTCCACACTGTTTTCCAGAGGGGCTGCACCAGTTTACATTCCCACCAACAGTGTAGGAGGGTGCCCATTTCTCCACATCCTCACCAGCATCTAGAGTCTCCTGATTTGTTCATTTTAGCTACTCTGATGGCCTGAAGTGGTATCTCAGTGTGGTTTTGATTTGTATTTCCCTGATGAGGAGGGGTGCTAAGCAACATTTCATGTGTCTGTTGGCCATTGGATGTCATCTTAGGAGAAGTGTCTGTTCATGCCTTCTGCCCATTTCTTCACTGAATTATTTGTTCTTCGGGTATGGAGTTTGGTGAGTTCCTTATAGATTTTGGATACTAGCCCTTTATCTGATATGTCATTTGCAACTATCTTTTCCTATTCTGTCAGTTGCCTGTCAGTTTTATTGATTGTTTCCTTTGCCGTGTAGAAGCTTTTAATCTTGATGAGGTCCCAGTAGTTTATTTTTGCTTTTGATTCCCTTAAGAGTAAGAAATTGCTGAGGTTGAGGTCAAGGAGTTTGTTTCCTGCTTTCTCCTCTAGGGGTTTGATGGTTTTCTGTCTCACATTCAGGTTGTTTATCCATTTTAAGTTTATTTTTGTGTATGGTGTGAGAAAATGATGTAGTTTCATTCTTCTGCATGTTGTTGTCCAGTTCTTCCAGCACCATATGTTAAAGAGGTTGTCTTTTTTCCATTGGATATTCTTTCTTGCTTTGTCAAAGATTAGTTGGCCATACATTTGTGGGTCCAAATCTGAGTTCTCTATTCCATTGTTCTATGTGTCTGTTTTTGTGCCAATACCATACTGTCTTGATGATGACAGCTTTGTAGTAGAGGCTAAAGTCTGGGATGGTGATGCCTCCCATTTTGGTTTTCTTCTTCAATATTACTTTGGCGCTTCAGGGTTTTTTGTGGTTCCATACAAATTTTAGGATTATTCCAAAATCCAATTTTGATTGAATTACATTGAATGTGTAGATTGCTTTGGGTAGTGGTAGTATTGACATTTTAACAATATTTATTCTTTTGATCCATGAGCATGGAATGTTTTCCATTACTTTGTGTCTTCTTCAATTTCCTTCATAAGTTTTCTATAGTTTTCAGCATACAGATCTTTTACATCTTTGGTTAGATTTATTCCTAGGTAATTAATGGCTTCTTTTGCAATTATGATGAGATCAGTTCTTGATTTCTCTTTCTGTTGCTTCATTATTGGCGTATAAAACTACAACCGATTTCCGTACGTTGATTTTGTATCCTGCAACTTTGCTGAATTCATTGATCAGTTCTAGTCGGCTTCTGGTAGAGTCTGTCGGATTTTCCATGTAGAGTATCATATAATCTGTGAAAAGTGAAAGTTTGACATCATCTTTGCCAATTCTGTTGCCTTTTATTTCCTTTTATATCTGATGGCTAATGCTAGGAATTCCAGCACTATGTTAAACAACAGTGGTGAGAGTGGACATCCCTGTCGTGTTCCTGATCTCAGGGGAAAGCCCTCAGTTTCTCCTCATTGAGGATGATATTAGCTGTGGGATTTTCATAAATGGCTTCTATAATGTTTAAGTATGTTCCTTCTATCCTGACTTTCTCGAGGATCTTTATTAAGAAAGGATGCTGTATTTTGTCAAATGCTTTTTCTGTATCTATAGACTGGATCATATGGTTTTTATCTTTTCTTTTGTAGATGTGATGTATCACATTGATTGACTTGTGAATACTGAACTAACCCTGTAAGCCAGGAATGAATCCCACTTGATCATGGTGGATAAATCTTTTTATATACTGTTGAATTCGATTTGCTAGTATCTTGTTGAGGATTTTTGCATCTGTATTCATCAAGTATATTGGGCTATAGTTCTCTTTTTTTGCTGGGTCTCTGTTTGGCTTGGGAATCCAAGTAATGCTGGCTTTGTAGAATGAGTCTGGAAGTTTTCCTTTGATTTCTATTTTTTGGAATAGCTTGAGAAGAATGGGTATTACTCTGATTTAAATGTCTGGTAGAATTCCTCAGGGAAGCCTTCTGGCCAGGGCTCTTATATGTTGGGAGATATTTGAGAACTGATCCAATTTCTTCACTAGTGATAGGTCTGTTCAGATTTTCTATCTCTTCCTGTGTGAATTTTGGTAGTGTGTGTGTGTTTAGGAATTTGTCCATTTCTTCTAGGTTGTCCAGTTTGTTGGCATATCATTTTTTATAGTATTCCCTGATAATTGCTTGTATTTCTGAGGGGTTGGTTGTAATAAGTCCATTTTCATTCTTGATTGTGTCTATTTCGGTGCTCTCTCTTTTCTTTTTTGAGAAGCCTGGCTAGAGGTTTGTTAATTGTGTTTACTTTTTCAAAAAACCAACTTTTGGTTTCATTGATCTGTTCAACTGTTTTTTTGGATTCTATGTTTATTTCTTTCCTGATCTTTATTATTTCTCTTCTTCTGCTGGGTTTGGGGTGCTCTTGTGCTC